GTCCAGCACTGATGTTCCCGGTACTGGAGGCATATGGAGGATAATAACAATATTTGACATTTACTGAACATTTGTGCAGCCTTTCTTATTCGATCCTCTGAACAACTCTTAATAGGGTCAACATTATTACCTCCTGTTTTACAGACAAGGAAACTGAGGCTCAGAGAGAGGTTTGGTAACTTTATACAGAATTACCTATTAATAAATGGGAGAGGAGAGACCGCACTCAACTGCAGCTTTTCCTAACCTCGATTTTGTATTCTTTGAGTGTGAACCTTTGTGCTACAGCCTGGCAAGGGCGGGGGGGGGGCACTACCAAAATTGGGCCGTTCCCTGAGGGCCAGACCATCTACTCAGAGAGGTAAAAATAAGGTGATCCAGGGACAGTGCTAAGCAGAGTGTGCTCCATGGCAGCCGGGCTAGAGGGAGAGGTCCCTGTGGGTTGGGAAAATGTCACAGGAGAGGAATGGAATTGATGGGCACTTGAGGCATGGGTTCTATAGCATAAGCAGAGATAAGAAGGTGGCCGTAGGCAAAACATGAGGTTGGTGAGAACACCAATCTGATGCGGCGAAGAGTTTGAGTATGAAAATGGTGAGAAAGGAAGAATGAGCCCAAAGTGGCATTCTTAATCCTCTATGGAGGGAATTCGATTGTGGGATGGGAGTGGAGCGGCCTAGGGAAGCTACACTTGGCAAGTCTTTGCGTGGGATCCAGGAGAGAATTGAGTTGAGGAAACCAGGCAGGAACTACTGCTGGAGATCAGCTTTGAGTCTGCTTGGATGAAATCAGTGAGGATGGGACTGTAAGGCCAGTGGACAGACTTGGTGACTGATTGGAAATGGGAGAAGGACCAACCATCTATTTGATTCTAGAGTATGAAAGCTAAAGTGATTTTTTTTTCTCCTGTGAATTGTACACCCTTTCCTTATTATTTTCCATAAATTTGCTCCTGTGCATTTGTATTTTATTGCTTCTATTCATGTATTTCTTCAAAAGATGTTATTGAATGCCTCCTATGTACCGCGTCTGTGGGTCTGGATGATTTCTGTGTGTGTGTCCTTCTAAAAATACAGATGTACACAAATGAATAGCAGTTTGTGTTGAAGGTACAACTACCAGGAACGCCTCAGTTACAAGTGGAAATCGATCCCTTTTTTGCATGTGCAGACAGAAAACATTTTAGTTGAGGCCTCAGAAATATAATTTAGCAATCAGAACCAATCAGGATCTGACACAATTTCATACACAATGATTTCAAGGAATTAGTGATGCTGAGACTATAAAGCAACAGGTGGTAGAGCTTTGCATGACTTGGTAAAGGTTTGTTTTGCTATTGAACAGGCCGCCTTCACCTCTTTTGAACCCTCTACTTAGAAATGTGGTTCAGGTAGCCATCTGAAAACTTAACGGCCTTATCCCTCTTGCTTATGACAATTTGGCATTGACATGTGGCATTGCAAAATGAAATGACAAATTTGGATGGCAGATATCCTTAGAGCAGTTCTGGGGTTTTTTATTAAAACCCAAACCTTTTAGTAGGTTGGATTTCCAAAGAACTACACTTTATTAAGTTCTTTTCCTTCCATTGACTTGACACTGTAGCTTTGGGTTGTATTATTTCCCGACATGGGATGAAAATAAGCTTAGTTTTGTCCTTGTGAGTGATAATTCAAAGAAATTTTATACAGTGTTAGTGTTTTCATTTGCTTTGTTTTTATCGCCCATGGGAGGCAGAATTCACTATGAGATCTGGTAATGTAAGATTTGCACCATCATGGACTATTTTCAAAGACCTGGCGTATTTATTTTTAACAGCACAAATGTTCCTGGAAAGGTATATTTAGCACAGTCAGTCAGTCAGCTGGGGGAACAAAGAGTTAACCAAATGTACTTGGCAAAACTGAATGGAAGCAAAGGATATATGGAATATGATTAGGGCCCATTTCCCCCATAGAAGAGTTGTTTAAAATATGCCATGACCAAAAGCTTAATTATCAAAATAAAACAAGAGGCATAAAGAGTTACAGGCTTCTCATAATTTTTTTCAGTCCCAGTTCCCTTCACACAGTTATCAGCATGTTTAATTTCCATACATAATAGCACTAGTTATTGTTGTCATTTGTAAAGGGAGATTAACAGATAGTAAGTACAAACAAACCCAAATAAGTACTGAATAGAGAGGTGACAAAGGAGAAAAGATCTCTTTAATGTTAATTATAACTGGTAGGAAGTCTAGACAAATTATATTATCTGTTTTCTATATGATTTGAAGGGACATTTAGTTAGTAGCTCTGTCAGAGATAGAGTTGGGTGTTTGTTTTAGAAACAGGTGAGGTGACAATTTAGCATCTCCCTGGTTGGCAGCTCACCTGGTGAGTCATAAAGTTGTGGTAAATTGATGGAATCGAGTTTCAAAAACATCTGAGAATTTTTGAACATTATATTTTTTAAAATGAAAAAATAATTTCAACTTCCAGGTTGTATTCTGGTACTTAATTTATTGTCTCAAAACATGGATATCTGATCTGAATTGAATGAGTTATAGCTGTGGTTGTGAATGCTCAGTGATAGATATTCCCAAGGATGTAAAGCCTCAGGTAGCAAATACAGTGTAACAAACCCAAATGAGTGATAGAGTGGTCCAGTCCCATGTTTTTCATACACAGGTTCCTTGAATTGTGTTTCCTTTATTAATATGCCTAAATGGGTACTTCCAGAAACCACAAGTCTCACCTTGAGTTTTATAGGCTACATTTAAAATGTCATACCTGCTGCTGCTGCTGTCAGCCCCACTGTCCCGCTGTCTCCTCTGTGCCTAGAACAGGCTCAACCAAAGTATCTTGTTTCTTTACTTCTGAGAGGCCATCACTGGTGAGCTGTACTCTGGACTTAACTGTTTTTTGGAGGAAACATAAATACATCATTAAATATGCATGTCAATTGTCAATGCATCTGAGTTTCAGAAATACTAAAAGGTGAATAAAAATGTGTCCTCAAATCAAGGAAAGGTGGTAATAGGCCTTAGGAATTGGAACAGTTGCCTGTGACTCAGAACCACTGATTCTCTTTTCTGATTCAGGGTCTTTTGCAGTGGCAGCAGTTAGACGTCTCAGCTAGGTAGAAGACACACGACCCATCCCTTCTCTGTGTTGTTTGGCATTTAAGAGTTGGTACCACACAACTTGATTCTTAAAGTGAAGCCGATGATGAACAGCTTTTAGTCTTTGTGTTTGTGAACTTTGGTTTCCTACTTTAATTGTAATTTCCTGAAATTCGGTACTGGGGATGCTTTGCCTATTTCCCACAAAATTTAATGTAATTCTGGGCATATATTAAAGGTTTCTTAAGGACTCCTGGAGACCTGCTACCTGAAAAGTTGACATTAAATATTAAAATAGGTTGTTGACTGAAGATAGGAATGAAGTTTACTGTGAATGTATTGACTAGATGAATTTTATATTCTTTAAAGGCAGCATATTTTCTTTCGGTTAAAAAGTCCTACCATGTACTTTCTCTGGGTGGGAAAGCCATAAATGGAGCTGGAAGAACTGATTCTGGGCACTTTCCCTTGAGTTTGGTTGTAGTGACTTCCAGGAAGAGCTTCTCTGAGAGTGAGGGCCCTCAACGCAGAGGTGAGCGGCCATCCCGCCGCTTTGGGTTACGCCACGTGGCAGCGTTAATAAGGAGCAGAAGAAAGCAACATGAAGCAGCATTTGTGTATATACTGCTCTTTTCTGGGGAGAAAGACCAACAGGTAGCTCGGTCTAAAAACAGGGACTGAGGCTCAACATGTCATTGATCCCTTTCGTTGTCACATCACACAGACTTCTCTCTGGCCTTCATTCTTTAGTACGTGTTCTGTCTGCCTAAGTTGTCTTTCCCGCCTTCTCCAGCCACCGAACCTCTCCGTACTCTTCAAGACCAGTTCAGGAGTTCCGCCTCACCAAACGCTCCAATACCTCAAGGCAGTCAGCTCCCTTCCTGCGGCTCCCCAGATGGGAACCCCATGTGACAAGGGGGCATACCTCGTTCACCTTTTCCCCCCAGCGCTTCCTCCTCATTTGCCTTAGGCATCTCATGCCTAATACATACAGCCCCAAAGCCCACAAACCCTGGTGCGTTCGTGGGAACAGCTGAGCTTTGCTCAACCCCACGTGAAGTCTTGCCTTCCGTGTGTAACAGATTCGCTCTGTAGCAGACATAGTGCTGTTGTAAGGTAGCAGGTGTTTTGTTATCACACCTCCATGAGAAAATTCAAACAAGAGCAGCGGAGGAGAGTAACTGAAGCAGGAAAGTGAGAAGAGGGTTCTGAAGACCAGAGACATGGGCGACGGCTATTCAAAACCACTGGAAAGGAGTGGTCAGTTGAAGTTGTCCTTGAAGACATTTTTTCAGATAGTTTTATGCCTCTAGAGAGCAGGTGTAAAAGAATCTGTTTTCATTTAAAATAAAACAATTGCTTACATTTGAAAGTGTTTCTTTTATGCCAGGGTTAGTTCTAGGCACTCTAAATGTATCACATTACAACAAACCTATATAGTAAGTGTTATCGTCCCCATTTTATAGAGAAGGAGATTGATCATAGCAATTAAGTAACTAGCCAGTAGTCACTCAGCTATTGGGAAAGTCTTTCATTTCTACATGGTATACTCCTTACTTTGGTAATGGTCTTTACCAGTGAACTAAAACCCATCAGTTTACATTCTGCATTTAATCATATAAGTTTTTATTGGCAGGTTTTGATGTTTTCAAAGGGATTTCTTTTAATAAAAGGGAATAATGTCTCAGTGATTTTTTTCCTCAACTTTATGAATTTTATAACTTTTAAGTTTGGGGCATAGATCAAATTTACATGTTAGGAAAGAAGGGTAGGGAGCTGTTTCCAGATCTCTAAGGAAGGTTTGAATGAAATGAGTGTATCTTGATCACGAAAGGGTTTTGATTTCTTATTTGTTGATGGTAGTGCTAGGACTGAAGTGTTCTCTTTTTATCTCCAGGGCTGGTTGATTTGTGAGGAGCCAACATGTCAAAATCGAACTCGACACCTTCCCCTTCAGTTCTCCCGAAATGGACCTCTTTGTCAAGTCTGCATGAGAGCCACACTGCGGCCAGAGGTAACGGGGTTGCAGAATATGCGGGAATGGGGTGGGGGTGGGGAGGTGCCTGCCCCTTAGCTCTGGGAAGTGGGTATTTGGCATTTGCTCTGTGGTGACGCCCTACTACCGCACACATGTATTTAAGGAAATGATCCAGATTTGAGAGATATAAGCTTTATTTTTCACATCATGAATAGTATGTATTTATATTTAAAAGGGAAACTGACTAGTTCCCATACAGGTTACTCAGATATCTTTGGTTGCCCCTTCTTAACTCCAGAGAAGAGATAGCATTCCTTTTGAAACTGCCGTTATCTTCAGACTAGATCAGAACCCCTTCTCAAGGGCCAGAAAACCTCCCAAACCTGTACCAGAAAGTGCTTATTTGATTTGTATGGAATTCCATCGTTTCTAAGTAGCTGCGCAGATGAGTGGTTCTTGAGCGTTTTCTCAATCTTAGTACATACACCTGAGGGATAAGCAGACTATCACGGGTGACTCCCATCTGGGGAGCACATAGTCTGGAAACACTTTCCTGATAATGAAGATGCCTTCTCTGTGTCACCCCTTCTTTGAACATCATGGCCCCAAGCAGCATTTCCCAAACTGTGGGGAGAGGAATGTTTGAAGATCTCCTGGGCAAAGAGGGTTTGTCATCAAATGCCTCTAGGAATCTCTGAGCTCACCAAGGTTAAACAGGACTTATAGCAGATTGTCTCAGAACCTGTAAAATGATGATGTGCAGTCTACCTCACTGATACAGGACTGTAATGTGCCTCACTTTGCAAATTTATCTGGTCCACAGATTTGTAAGGATCTGGGTGGGAAAAGAGTGAGAATAGGGAACCTGTCATTGATTTACTTAATTTTTTAACTCACAGGCCAGTTTTATAAACCAAGTGTCGACTTCAGATCTTTTCGCTGAAAAGAGTTGATACACAGGCTAATTATATGAAAATATTTTAAAAGTCCTGGTAGCTTTTTATTTTAATTTTAAGATAATATACTGTTTCACAAAATTTAGCAAATCAAGAACGACAAATGGCTTACCATCATTGTTGTGTGTTTCTGTGTTCTTTTGCATATCCATATATATGTTTATGTGGTTTCAGTCATAACGAAGATAAGCTTTTACATCATGTTTGTCTTTTGTTGAATGTCTGTGTTGCTACTGAATTTTCAGTACCAACCGTTTAAACACAGATTTAACCATTCCTCTCATTGGACATTTTAGGCTACTTTCAGTATCTCTTTACCAGAAAATTGTGATGAATTATTTTCCTGCTTAAATTCTTTTTTGTTTTTCTGAAATACTTATTATCGACAGTACATATCCCAGTGCTTAAATACAATGTGGTCATGATTCATGGTGCCGCTTTACTTTCTTAATGGGTTATCCCAACTTATGTACCAGTTTTACTACTGCCTTTGCAGCATTTGGGCATTATTATTTTTAACTAATCTGATAAATAGATAATGTTCCTTGCCTAATTTAGTCAATCTTTGATAATTAGCAAAGTAGAATGTAGATTTAAAAATAAATACAGAACTCATAAATGAGAATTAGCTGCTGTAGCGAATTCTTTTTACGTCAGTCTCATCCCAAGGCTTGCATCAGCAGGTGCAGAAAGAGAATTGAAGTATATATATTTAGTGTGACTCATCAATCCGGTTGTAGACTCCAGGGGAATCACCTTGCTTCATGAACCCATGCTGCCTCTGAGACTTTTTAAATATCTAGCTCATCAAGTCAAATTCAGTGAAAATTGAATTACTTCTTAGAAAGTCAGCCAGTTGCTTAGGATTCCATTCTTGGTGAGAGAAAGTAAAAGGAAAGTGTATTGGTAGTAACTATCTGGTAAATGCTGATGGTGCTACTGGTAATGGTTTAATACATCAGGTTATCTTTTATCATTTACAGTCCTTTTTGAAATGACTGAAAACCAACACAGGCATTTTGAAGTATATTTTTCTCCCTTCATTTTCTTGTCCTCAGAATGGTAGCATGTTAGGCAGGCATTTACCAAGGTTATTAGTTACTCTTGCCAGGGAGTAAGTTTCCTAACTTAGCTCCTTGGGCCATGTTGCTTCTCAGAATGTGACCCTCTGGCATAACTGGAAGTTCAGAGCATCCTAGTTGGTGACACTGCCTTTCGCTGTTCCTCGTGGGGACCTTGACAGTAGGACTGAGCCCACTCTTCAGCAGTCCATTTTCCGTGGCTAGCGATGAGTGGGAGATCTCTTAATTCTATTTATGAGGTTCCTGGGCTTTGCTAATAGGAGGAAAAAGCTGCATCTTTCCAGAGATAATTCCGAGGAAGCTCCAAAATCAGTGGTGCGATGGACAGGATCATTGTAATTACCATAGCGTTTCCCAAAGGGTCTATTTTGTAGGATTATGCTTATCTGGTTCTTAAGTTCTGGGTTGCTATGTCTCAGTTGTACATTGATTTTACTTAATAATAATTTATTGAACACCTCCTCTATCCTAGACACTGTGCTAGAGACTAGGGACATAGCAATGAACAGGACATTTCCTTATTTATAAAGTTAGTTTCGCATTACGTGGACTATATAAAATTGATATCTGTGGGCAAAAATAGGTATTTGTAAATATCTGTTTGGGCAAAAGCACCAGACTTTCCTGATGCTTGACGAGTGGGGACTTTAAATACATTGTCAAGTTTGATGGTAGAGCACTTGCCTGTTACTGTGCCAGTCTCATCTTCACATAATGGATCTACTCTCATTTAGTCCTGGGTTACAGTTGGCTTGAATACTTTCCAGAACTGACTTAGGATATGAAAGCTGGCCTTTCTTCTGGCTTCTGTTGCCAGAGTTTCAAGAAAGAAAGCTGGGATGGTTTTGTTCCCAGAGTTTGAGACATGTCTCTCCTCTTAGATACCTTTTTTTTTTAAAAAACTCACTGAAGTATTTTTTATGTTCTTGCCAGTTGCTGATAATGAGATATATATTCTCTGGGCATTCTCAGCTTCGTAGGAAGTGCAAATAAATAAAGGAATGAAAACCCCGATGTATGTGTAAGTTCCTAAGTAAATAGAACTCTTTTCCACACTGATGATAGAGACAAGACTTGCCCAAGTTAGAGAATAAATATTTTAACGTATCTTTTTTTAAGGATGTGGTTTTGACTTCTTAAGGTGGCCAAGTCTGTATGGCTGTGAACTGAACCCACAGGGGATTCTATATTATGTAATTCACCAAAAATGAAGTGTTAGTTTGGTTTGGTTTGGTTTTCTTTATAGAAGTCAGATTCCAAACCAAGTTAAACTTTCTCTCACTTCCATTTCTATTCTTTTTTTAAAAAAAATATTTTATTTATTTATTATTGTATTATTTATTTTATTTTGGTGGTGAGGGGAAGGCAGTTAGGTTTATTTATTTTTAGAGGAAGTATTGGGGATCGAACCCAGGACTTCATGCATGCTAAGCCTGCACTCTACCACTTGAACTATATACCCTCCCTTCCATTTCCATTCTTGATGTGGAAAAGGGGAAACATCTACATGTGACCCCCCCCCACCATCCCCGAGCCCTGATAGAAATAATTTGTGAAATTGTAGTGCCCCTGGGGCAGGAGCACTGGGCTAGAACCCTTTATTCAGTTGTTCAACTAAATTTCTTGAAGGTCCCTAATGGAGAAAGCAGTAAAATGGCTTCCAGTCCTACTGTGGGACACCCCTAGTGCTGCTCACATTATCCTCAGTTGTAAAATTGTTGAAGTCTTTTATAATGGAACATATGTACCATATAGGAGGACTCTGGCCTTCAAGGGAGAGAGGAAATACTAAATTCATGATCATTCTATGTTACAATTTCAAAATGGCTCTGGCCAATGAATTGTTGATTTAATAAATAGGTTAGAGATAGTGCAAACATTGCCAGGCTACATGGGACAGTGTCTTGTTTCTGTATAAGGTGAAAACATGAAAATAGTTGTGGTCTCTTAAGGCAGTAATCATAAGCTGTACAGGAAGAGAACCTTGGGACTATAACAGAAAGTCTTAAACATCTGTATCTACTCACTGGTTACCCTCCAGTAGACAGTGGGTTTTTACCATGAAGGGCCTTTTGGACTTCTCTGCTGTGATTTTCCATGTGTCTGTTTTTTCATGTAGAGTTTGCTAAATGCTACATACAGATTCATTTACCAAGAAGCAGATGCTAACCTTTCTTTTAGGAAGTATATAAAGAAGTATATAAAAATATATACTTTTTAAATCTTTTTTTATTATTGAGATGAAATTCACATAATAAAACTAACCATTTCTAAGTGAATAATGCAGTGGCGCTTACTACATTCACAATGTTGTGTGACCATCACTTCTGTCTAGTTCCAAAACATTTTCATCACCTCAGAAGAAAACCCTATACCCATTAAGCACTTACTCCCCATTCCTCTGCTTATTCTAGCCCCGGATACCTCTAATCTGCTTTCTGTCTCTATGGATTTATCTAGACTGGATGTTTCGTAGAAGAGGAATAATACAGTATGTGACATTTTGTGTCTGGCTTCTTTCACCTAGCATAATGTTTCTGGGGTTCATCCATGTTGTGACCCACATCAGTACTTCATGCCTTTTTATGGCCAAATCATAGTCCCTTGAATAGATGTACCACAATGTATTTATCCACTCATGAACATTTGGGTTGCTTCTTTCAGTATGCTTTTAAAGGTTATTTTAATTAGCTAGACAGGTCTTACATTTGGCCTAAATTTGTGTCCTGTGGCGCCTTGTTGGTCTTCGTTCAGCTGAATGGTACTACACAAAGCTGGACTGATCTCTTTCTCTGTTCCTGCCTTCAGTAAGCACTTAGCACCTACTCTCTGTTTCGTGAGTACCTTTTAGATATTTGAAGGTAGCCATCTTCCTAAGTTTTCCTCTTCTAGGCTCAGTATTCCTAAGTCTTAACCATTTCCTTAGTGCTTTGCTTTCAGAATAATGATCCTAATCCAGAGCTTTGTGTCCTGACAAAGTGAGGAGCCCAAAACTGCA